GAGAGAGAGAGAGAGAGAGAGAGAGAGAGAGAGAGAGAGCGGAAGGGGGGAGGGAGGGAGAGGGAAGGGGTAAATGGGAGAAGCAGGCTATAGTGGTTTCGTTTTTCTCTTCTGATCAGGAAAATGAATAGAGGCAGGGTAACGTCGGGAGGGAGTGGAGAGGGCATCAAGCGTCCATGACGGCGGGACATGATGATGGGATTTGGTTCTTGATGACAAGGGCGGAAAAGGTCTCGGGATCCAAATGCAATGGGAGATAGAGGAGGAGGCGGGGGAGTAAGGTCGAGGGAAAAGGAAGATGGGTGTGGCAGTCATTGGGCATTTAATAATTATGACAATATAATATGATATAATATAGTATATTATTGTCATATAATATAATTATCATATAATATAATTATAGTATAATATGATTATAATAAAATAAGGATAATATAATATAATATAATTATAATGTAATTGCGTATACATAAATTAAATGTACGAATATTTCAAGCTACCAGGGTCGTTGTAAAACGCTAGTGGTTGTTTTTTTTTTTTTTTTTGCTAGTGGTGGTTTGACATTCCTGCATTTAATTAAGAATAATAATTAGAAAAAAGTTAAAGGGCGACTGCGTTGAGGTATCATCACCAAACGGAGCAGCCCAGAGTTAATTTTTATAATTTTATAAGTTTATTTAAGATGTGATCCAGGAGGGTTCGAGCTGAGGTCTGTTCATCAACCGCTCATTGGTGGACCATTCAGCCACATGTACTTACTGGGTGGTAGTTTTTTTTTTTTTTTAATTGTTTTTTTACTGGGTGGGAGTTTAGCATTCCTGCATTTTATTATTATTATTATTATTATTTTTGGGCATTCCTGCCTCTTCTTGTTGCTGGTTTTGAAAGCAGTTTTTGAAGATCACAATCTCTTTTTTTCCCTTCTGTAGGGCCCCTGTTCCTGTCTTCCGCATTTGCACCCTCGTTATGGCTGCACTGGCCCCCTGGAAAGATAGCTTGTCTAGATTCATTATCAGGGTGCGTTCTGTTCGGGGGAAGACGCTACCGTCCACCCAAAGAGAACGCCGGGTCATTATAGCTGTATCTGGACTGAGAATCGTGCCAAATACGGCTATGATGACCGGCTTTCTATTCGGCTTGAAGACGGTCTTCTCTGTCTTGTTCGTTCTTCTTTTTTGGGATGTGTACTGTATAAAGCTATTCACTGAAGAAATCCTAGTTCACTCTCAGTTTATTTCACACGTTGACAAAAATCGAAACCCAAGATCATATGACTTGTGTAATTCTATATGGGACGCTGGGTCCGGTTCCCAGCACGTGTTGCTCCCCACGAATAGACTGGAGCATTTGTTCTCCCCCCCCCC